AAACTAAACTAACTACTATGTACAAAGAGGAAGGGGAAACGGTTGAAAAACATATTACAGTTTAAGATGGATTCTGTGTTTGAAACCAAAGTTTATCTGGAAGAATTTGGGACATTATCAAATTAGCTTTTCACTAATTTTAAAGAAATTGGAATGTTTTCACACCTCTGGTGGCTCCCATGTGACTGCTTTTGCTGAAAAAGGGGGGGCTGCAGAATTCCCCCAGCTGTAATCCACCAAAGCTGCGTTTTCTTCTCTGGTCATCCTATCAGGATGAAATATGGACACTGGTTCCCACTGTCCAAAAAGTATGATCATGGCATATGGCACAACAGTTGTTAGATCAGCTCCAACTTGTTCATTGTTATTTGCTTTACATTATTGCATCATCTTCATACATTTGTGAGCATATGTCTATGCTTGACTTCTTATGTGAAATCTTTTTATTTCAATATAAATCGTTCCACACCATGCATGAAAAATGTTTCTAACCTGTGTGAGTTCTCATGTGTCTAATCAAATAACTTTTTTGATGAAAACCTTTGCTACAAATTGCACAGGAGAAGGGCTTCTCGCCTGTGTGAGTTCTCATATGTTTAGTCAGATGACTTGTTTGACTAAAGCTTTTTCCACAAATCATACAGGAGAACGGCTTCTCGCCTGTGTGAGTTCTCATATGTTTAGTCAAATGACTTGTTTGAGTAAAACTTTTTCCACAAATCATACAGGAAAATGGCTTCTCAACTGTGTGAATTCTTAAGTGTTGATTAAGACCACGTTTATCAATGAAGCATTTTCCACAGGACGGGCATTTGAAAGGCTTCTCACCTGTGTGAACTCTGATATGCCTATTAAGTTCGCGGTTATCAATGAAGCTTTTCCCACAGGACAGACATTCAAAAGGCTTCTCACCTGTGTGAATCCTTGTGTGTGTGTTAAGACTGCTTTTATAAGTGAAGCTTTTTCCACAGGACAGACATTCGAAAGGCTTCTCACCGTTGTGAGTTCTGATGTGTCTAATAAGTTCATGGTTATCAATGAAGCTTTTTCCACATGACAGACATTGGAAAGGCTTCTCACCTGTGTGAATTCTGCTGTGTCTGTTAAGTTTGCGTTTATCAATGAAGATTTTTCCACAGGACAGACATTTGAAAGGCTTCTCACCTGTGTGAATTCTGATGTGTCTGTTAAGTTCGTATTTATCAATGAAGCTTTTTCCACAGAACAGACATTCAAAAGGCTTCTCACCTGTGTGAGCTTTCATGTGTCTAGACAAATGACTTTTTCGACCAAAACGTATGTCACAAATCGTGCAGACGAACGGCATCTCACCTGTGTGAATTTTGATGTGTGTATTAAGACTGCTTTTACGAGTGAATCTTTTTCCGCAGAACAGACATTCAAAGGGCCTCTCACCAGTGTGAGTTCTGTAATGTGTTTTAAGATGACATTTCTGAGTGAAGCTTTTTCCACAGGACTGACATTCATATGTCTTCTGACCCGTGTGAGTTCTCATGTGAACCACTAAATGTTCGTTTTTCAAAAACCTTTCTCCACATGTCAAACATGGGAAAGGTTTCTCTTCTGTTTCTCCATCCTCTTTCTTTAGAACCAGCTGCTCCTCCTGCTCACTTATGGGGATCTCCATGGTCTCCTCTTTTGTCCAGGGATCTTCTTGCTTTAGCTGCTCTTCTTTTATCTGCAGAGGTTCTGGTTCCTCTTGTTCCAACCTGGAATTCCTCTCCTGTTCAGAGAACCGCTGCTCCAAGAAAACCTCCTCTTTTCCAACATATTCCTGATGGTCTTCTGGAAAAACAAACACAAGAGAAAGACTTTCTATTGTAGGCACTTTACTTAAATCATGTGTTGATCAAACCATAGATATAGATAGACCCCGCATCATTAGTTGAGGTGTGCCGACAAAGCAGCCATCTTAGGTCAGACGAAGCGGTGGTCAGAAACGATACGCTTCAATAGAGGCTAACCGTACTGAAAACGAGAACGTTTCAAGGGTTAAATGGGAACAACTAATTAATCTGATTTTTTTTGTCTATTTTATTGTCTCATTTTGCATACAGTTTTCATGACATTTCGATTACCTAAGGCTATACACATATATATATATATATATATATACACATATATATATATAAATACATATATACATATATATATATATATACACACACACACACATATATATATATACATACATATATATATATATATACACACACACATATATACATACATATACACATATATACATACATATACACATATATACATACATATACACATAT